TATATCTGGCGTTGATCGCAAAATTCTATAAAAGATCTGCTCTGTTTGTTTTGGTTAGCCGGTGATTAATTTTTTTCAATTTGAATGTGATTTTTTAACTCTGCGAAAAACGTTTTTTTTTGGTTTTATTGAAGCGGTAAATCTTGATGTCTACCAGACTGCTGCTATACTGGCACTTAAATCTGAATTACAGAAACAGAGCTCGCTCGGCTTCTGGCTTCTTTCGAAGGAATTATCAGCAGTTATTCAGGCGTTCAGATATGCGTCAACTAGTATGAAGATCTGACAGTCGTAACCATTAGGGAACAAGCATAATGCCAAGGTCCATTTGGGTAATCAAATCGTTGACGAAATCTAAATAAGGTTTTCATCACATGATGCAACAATTGAGAATGAGTAGACAGGAACCTGCATCACGTCCAGTGCAATACATTTTTATGGCCTCCGCTGTTTTTATACTATGATTAGTTAAGGTTTCGTGCAGTGTGTATACTGGCACATTCATTCGTCCATTTTCTAGACCACGTCATAATTTTTACCTTCTGTTCGACAGCATTCTTGGCAACTAAAAAAGCCTGATGGCGAACAAGAACGTCAGATCCTCAATAACGCTAAAATAACTCAGTATATCGTCACTATTGGTATTTATGCTTGGATCACAGAACGCAAATTTGCAGAAAATACAAATCGAATGAAGCCGCCTATTGCGGAACGGCTTTGCATCAACGTCTGCACACTATCGTACCAGTTCGTGTTCGGTCATCCGGCAGCAAGTCGCGTAGGTGACGAATTTGTTATCCGTTGTCTGTTCGGCGTCTGCCTGTTTGACCGACGGCGGAACGGTCCACGAAGGACAGTGGCCTCGGCATCCGTTCAGGTGCACGTCGAACGGTTTGCAGCCATTGATTTTGATCGTTCTTTTGAAAGCTAAGCAGAAGAGAAGGTCTTAATCAAGCAGCGTCGCCGTGGCTTCACAACGTCAGTACCAAGTTTGTGGCAGCCGGGCCGTGGCACCCACTTCGACAGCGAGTAGGCGGCGACCAGTCGCATTGCCATCGCCAAGATCGTGACGACGAAAAGCCATCTTTGAACGACCGCCGCCGACAGTCGGTGCGGTCGAGAAGACATTTGTCGCCCGGCACAAGGGTGAGCTGATCTCTAGTCCGGCTATTCTCCAGGAATCTCGACTGAGTTCAGGATCGATTGTCGAATTGGTCCTGACAAGCGGCGGTCGCCGTCGATATCGGTACATCGGCTGTTCGTAGTTAACCGCGTCGAGATCAACGCCTGCGTTATGAAATAAAGTGCCGCCGACGTCTGAGTGCGATTGCTGCTGTTTAATCTGATCCGTTTGTGACTTACCTAAAGAATATGTCACTAC